AAAAGATCTTTAGCACAACCATGTGAAGGATAATATAAATCGAGCTATGTGACTTGAAAGGCTCATTGAAACTCTGCCTCTTCACAAGAAAGACACAAATTCTTGCGGCATTATTCCAAGCTAAAGTTTTTCAAATACAAGATGAACTAGAGAAGACCAATTTTTGTACATGGCGAACACCGGTCCATGTAAAAACATGTTGCTTGAGTATTTGAACTATCTAGTCTCTGAATAACGCTGTTTCGCTGCTTAACTTCGGAGATTCTTCAGAAGCATCACTTTTGTATACAAACCACGCAGATAGAATGACCTTAATTAAGATTTGGTAACAGCACTTAGTAGAGATGTAATCGATAGAGCTAACAACAAATCCTATAAAAAGAGTAAACCCTGAAGGAGTAGATACTGATAAGGTAGGGAAATTTAACAATGGCACATTCACTTACTTAAACCTCAGTTGAAATATGGCAACTGTACTTGAAAGACGTAATCGCTAGACTGAATTACGAATCCATTAAATAAGCCAAAGACAAGTTCTTACTCACCGGAAGACACTGTGAAGTAAGCCTGTGATGAAAAGAGTAAACACTGAATATATCCTTACAAGGAAGGGATATTCAACAATGGACCGTATACCCATCACCATTCAACCCACTACACGACACACTCCTGACATATTTATTTTAGATATGCCTGATTAATTTTGAATCTCATTCAGTTGAAATCCACAGATTTCCAACATTTAATCCTATGCCAATTCTCTGAAGGGGTTTCTATTATCTTTACGACTATACCACCGAACTTATTCCGAAATATTGATTTCATCCTACATCATCCTTTAAACCAACATTCTCTTTTACGCAATTTGGGTCCAACCACTAAGGCACTTCTCCAATAACCGGCACAAGACAAAGTCCGAAACTTTATTCAGTTATACAAAATAGATTAGGTCTCTGGTCAGACTGCGATCAATATATTGCGCCGGCATACGAGAGATACTGATAGCACCCCCCAGATTGTTATAATACCAAGCATATTGTACTTAACCAGAAGGAATAATGGAACAACGGTGGTTAGGTTTCGTGGGTTGCTCGCTAGTAAGCGAGTTCACTCGGAGGCCTTGTGGCCCATTGTGTTACTCTTAGAATTACCATTCCCTAATATTGAGAGAATGGTTTCTCTCCCCAATTTCGTTGACTAATTAGTTCGTTCGGTATCTGTGAAAACCAGCCGGTGCTTTATTAGTGACGCATCTCTGAGACAGTCTAGATCATGGAAAAGAGCTTTACCAAGATAGAATTGTCTCTTGGAAGGCTGGGCAGTCACATAGAAGGTGTTGTACCAATTCCACTTCTTCGTCCAAGCAGCTTCTACAGTAGCTATAACTTGGGTAGCCCATACGTTCCGACATATGTCCAATCATATAGTGCCCAGTAATTATACCATTTAGAAGCCTAATCGAGTTCTTACTAAGAGACAAGAGAGTCCTATCTATTGTCAGAGTGGGCCAGAGAAGTCTCGAAATTCTACAAGTGGTGATATTTAACCACCTGAGTTTCGTCTCACTCAAAGCCCATTAATCTATCAATTTTGATAGGGTCTTCAGGGGAGTGTGAATATCCTTTTGCGCAAAGATTAAGTCTAGGGGTGACCCTTTGGTTGCGCATTCATCAGATATTTCATTTCCCCGTATGCCCTCATGTCCAGGAAACCATATCAACTCAACGTTGCAGGATTCTTCTTGCGGCTGTATAGATGAAGGACCGTGCAGGTGTCAGGTAGTCGAAGAAACAGTAGAAGGTTTAGTTTTTCGGAGAAGATTCCCAATCCCGTGTTCCTTTCTGTCTTTGAGCCATCAGTATAGATTGAGATCACGTCGTCCCTTAGGACAGTGTTCGCGGCCCAATCATTCCTTGTCGGTATACTGGTCTTGAATGACCTATGAAAATACAGTGTAGATAGAATGTAGTCTTTTTCCTGCCCCATGATTGGACTGCCTATCTTTTGTAGGATGGTGTTATGAACAATGCGGTCGTGCTTCAGACCGTTCGTCTGTTTAAGTGGTATAGCAGATTTAGCAGAAATGCATTTGATATATATGTATATCAAGGAGAGTTATATTTAGCATCGTCTCTAGACTAGCCTGAGGTGTGCAAGACATGCTAATCTTTGTACCTTGTTTAGAATAGAAAGGTAAGTCTTGGTATCTACCGCTCTCCACCAAACAAGGGATCCGTAGGTCAAAATAGGTCTTATGACCGCGGTGTATATCCAGTGCATAATGTATGGTTTAAGACCCCATCTTTTCCCAAAGGTTTTCTTACATAACACCTTCTTTATACGACTCTCAGCATTACATTTCCACGTGAGGTTAGAGTCTAAGATTACGCCAAGATATTTGGCTTCGCTTGAGGTCCAAACGCGGAGGTTTGAATTCTGAACAACGGTACACAAAAGAAATGCAGAGAAATTAGTTTTGTAGTCGAATCTTTGGCCCTATGTTTCTTGATACTTTATATGTATATGTCAGACTATTTATATTGGACCCTTTCTATATACTAACTAACTCCTCTGGCGATATTGTAGTGTTAGTATATCCATGTTATACAATTAATATATTTCATACTTCCTTAAATTACTTCCTATTAAATTCAATTCACACAACTCTTTAAAATTGCCCTTTAAAGACCATGTTGTAATAACTTTCGAAATCTGACCCCACACCCACTACTCTCTATTAAAGCACACAACATAAATAACCTTGATTTAAAATAGTATGCCACAAAGACGAATATAGTAAAAAAGGAATAAAATATAAAATTTAACTTTAACAGGCTTTAAAAGGAAAACCACAAAAAACAGACACTGTTAAGAGAGTAACACTTAACAGATGTAAAGTTAACAGTAAAAAAAAAAGTTTAACATTTTGGGGGGTTTTTTGTATTTACACAAACCAGGGAGCTAGAACAGAAAAATGTTAAAGGTTAACAGAGGCTGGCAAAAAGTAACTGTTAAAGGGGGAGGGGGGCAAAGGGTTGGCGGTTAACACAGAGTTTGTTGTTAACATAAGTTTTTGGGAGATTTATTTCTTAAGAAAACTTGTTTGTTAGTGTTTAAGAGAGGTTTTAAAAAGAGTTCTGCAGCAGATTTATGAGTTTAATTTAAGCTTTTTAATAGTACTGCAGCTTTTAGTTGCTTTTGGGATTTCTTAGAGAAATGAGAGCAAATTAGTTCATTGTTTATTTTTTGTTTTTGTGCGAAAACAAAATCAAAACAATAAATCAAAACAGAGAATTTTTATTGACACATTACAGTTCTCTCTCTGAGTGTAGCAGGCGCATGTATTGAATTTGTTTTAAAGAAAGAAAGAGAGAGAGAGCAGTAGAAAATTTATTGCAAATTTAACAAAATTTTCTTTTAATATTTAATAAAATTTATATAAAAGAGTGTGTTAATTTAATAAGAGTTGGGCTGCAAAAGAGAGAGAGAGTGACAGAAGAGCGAGTGTTTATTTTGGCAAATGCGCCGGTTTTTTTGCTTATAGCTGAGTTCAAAATATACCCCAACAAAAAAGCCATTTATCATTTTAATGTGGAACTGAATCAAACTCATTTTTGTATGTTGGTGTTGTTGGTGTTATAAAACTGACACAATCTCTTTTGTTTAACAAGAGAGAGAGTTAATGCTGTTGTTCTATCACTAGATGAATGAGTGTTTGTGTGATATTGGGTGCAAGATATACCTCATTATTTTGTTGTTGTTGTTATTATTGTGAGATTTGTATGGGGATTTTTTGTTGTTGTTGTTTTGTTATAATTCAGGGAATATAACTTGCTCTTTGGTAATTGTAATGTTAGTATTTGTGTGCGTGTGTGTGTATGAATGCTTGTTGTTATTGCTTTTATATTTGTTATTTTTATAAATATTCTACGGTTATAGTGGTTATTGTTGTTGCAGTGTTAGTAGTTTGATTTTCTATAACAGTGAAGTCAACAGAGCCAAACAAACAAACCAACAAATGTTGTTGTTATCATGTGTGTTGTTATTATTATTTCGTTTTTGTGTTTTTTTTTTTGTGGGCTTGCTGTCAGACTCTCTATGTTGTCAGTGTCAAAAAGATGTTTTAGTCGACAACATAACGCTTCAACGAGATCATGTCGAGAATATAATTTTTATGGTTTATTTAGTTGTTTTTTAAATAAAATTTTATAATTATTAATAAAAAAAAGAATTTTAGATTTTCTTAATAAAATTTAAAAAAATAATAAAGTGTTAAAGTGGAAAGTTTAAAAAAAAGTTTAAATTTGAAAACAAAAAAAAAAAAAAAGTTCCAGAACTTTTTGTTACAACTGTCAGGTGTCATTAAATGATTGACTGCTACATAAAATTGCATTTGTAGAGTGTCAAATGTTAAAGTGTCATATGTTATAGTGTATGTGTGTGTGTGCTAAAAAGACTCTCTGCTCTCTATAAAACAAATCCTGATTTACTGCGCAATGTTTGCTGCTGTAGCTCGTAATAAAACTTAATTTTTTGTGCTTTATGGGCATAAAGGATTTTGGTTTTGTTGTTTTTTTGTCAAAGAACTCATAACAGGAAAATCCAATAGCCAGTTAGTCGCTAAAACGACTTGGCAAAGGCGACATCGTAAATTTCAAAAGAAAAAAAAAAACAATTTCTTAAATTTTAATAAAACAATAAAACAAAAAACCACGTAAATTTTTCAAAAACTAGTCAAGTTCTTTAAATAAAAACTAAATTGCAATAATTATAAAAAAAATTTAAAAAATGTTCTCTGCTGTGATTTATTTGTTATTTTAATTTTATTTAAAATATTTAAAAGCTCAATACTAAAATAAAATAAACAAAATTGAAAATAAAAAAACAAATTTTGTGGGGTGAAATTTAAAAAAAAAAACATATCAAAATTATTAAAAATTATGTGTTTTTATAAAAATTACTAATAAATCATTCTAAAAACAAAATTAAAAACTCCCACCCAGAGATTCTTTTAAGAAAACAACAACAACAACAATAAAATTCTTAAATACCAAAAAAGAAATGTCAACCCGTTATTTGCTATTTAATAACTTTGACCACTTTGACAGTTGATTTATTTGACGCGTGTGTTTGTTGTATAGTTGCTTAGTATACTTCAAGGGAGAGTGAATGTAAACGTCACTACATCTTTAACAGAATACAACAAAAAAAAAAAAAAAATAAGAAAGAAAAAAAATCAAAATAAAACCCACTAAATGAGTGAGTGAATATGAGTGTTTTTGATTGAAAGCTTAAAATGTTCTTCAACAACAAAACAAATAACAAACACAATGATGGAACGAACACACACACTCACACACGCTCAAAAACTGAATGACATTGACACAAACATCTAAGCAAACAAAGAAAAACATTAAAGTGACATTATACTTGTCAAAAAAAAGAAAAACTATTTAAATAACAAATACTAATTTGTTAAAACAAACATTTAAGCAGAATATTTAAATTTCGCCTACTTTAACAACCACCCCCTTCCCACACACACACACATACCCACAACCCATTTGCAAACCAACCTCCTGTTGAATTAACAAGTGTTTTTTTTTTTTTGTTTGTCTTGCGTTACTAAATGCTTGTTGATTTGTGTTGTATGTTGTGCGTTCGGAGAGGTGGCATTCCGCGTGTGCGTTATTTCCATGTGTTACTTGGTGTGTGTTATAGACCCTTTATTGTGTGTGCGTTTGGAATAGAATTTCGTTACAATTTTTTTTCTTCTACTTTTGCGTAAATATTGTGTGTGTTTCAACGTATCCAAAGCAACATTATGATGCTGCACGAGGCTGTTATGTTGGAAATCTATCGACAGGCTTTGAATGCAAGGTGAATATTAAAGTGAATTTTTATTAATTTTTTTTGTTTTTGGTTAAAATTTTAAAAAATTTTTTAATTATTAAAAATTGTATTAATTGAATTCATATACATTCTTCTACAAATGTAGAAAATGAAAGAGACAACTTAAGGCCCAAATAGACTACACAAGCGGCTTGACAAACATACCAATATTTTACGTTTGTGCAAGCCTGTTGTGTAGTGTATGAGGGTGTTTCGTGTTTGTACAAATGCTTGCTGTTCGTTTGTACAAAAATTAAAAAAATTTGATTTTTACACAAACATATTGAATTTTTGTCAAACCGTTTGTATTGTTTATATTCATTAACAACAAAATTTTCACAAAATTTCCATTTCTAAGAAAAATTGACATCTGTATCTTTGCAAGTCCACAAAAACGTGAAAAAAATCGGTGTTTGTGCGAGCAATGTTTATGTAGTGTGTGTGCGAATGAAAAAAGTATGTTTGATAACCCGCTTGTGTAGTCTATTTGGGCCTTTAACGAACAACTTTTCCATTCCCCTGTTAAACTATTCTTTTGTCAACAATACTAGAAAATTATCAGATAACCAGTATTCCATTAAAATGCTCGATTTCATTAAAGTTCAAATTCCGTCGCTATTTTTAAAAACCTTTCTTTCTAGTTAATCATTTAAACTTTCTTCCATCTTTGAATCATTTAGTACCGCTGTTTAAAAATGTATTAAAATTATGCTGAATTGGTTTTAAGTATATCGCCTAAAATGGCCGCTAGGGTCGAGAATGGACCGAGTTTCATATAATTTTAAAAAAGTGATTAGTTTCTTAATAATTATTTCAATATCATTATTTTTATACAAGGTGTTAAGTATATGGCGGGTAGGGTCAATTATGGTCCGATTCTTATAAAACCGGGAGATTAGGGTTGACGCTGGAATTGTTTATGACGAATTTCAACTTATGAAAGATTCTAGCCCTCTAGCTATAATCTTGTTTAGGTTTTAACACCTTTACAACAGACAGATGGACGGACATTGTTTGGCCAACTTAGAATCTAATATGCGGAAACCTACTGTAGGGTTGGTAGCTGAAATCATTGACCCATATAGCTCATTTTCAATACAGTGTTTATTATTCCAGATTATTTGTCATTGCAGCCTCTTAGTTCATTTCGTTTAGAATCTATCGCGACTACAAAAAACTGACTGACGGACATTGCTCTAATAAGAATTTATATACATTTCCGGGTACACAACCTTTATAAAGACGTTTTGCAAACGGTGTCTAACGTTGTCCATTTTCTATAACAGACAAATGCCCGCTTTTCCAATATGGAATATTTGTGAAAATCTTCAGCCCTCTAGTTCCTCTTGTTTAGATTGTATCGTGCCCATAACAGACGGACATTGCTAGGTCGTTTTAGAATCTGATAAGAACAATGCAAAACAGTGTTTATCAGCGGAAAATATTTGACACTGCAGCCCTCTGGTTCTTTTGATTGGAATAGGATCTATCGTTTTGCAACAGACGGAAGTTGATCGTGTTAGAACCTAGGACCCAGAATATACATATATACTCTTGTGAGACAAAAATTTTGATGTGTTATAGACTGATGTCCACATTTATAGTCGTTAGACAGACGGACGGATGGATGGACGGACATTGCTAGATCTTCCTAGAATCTGATAATAACCCACAATATATATACAATTATGGAACTACGACCAATATTTTCATGTGTTACAAAGGTTGTGGCACTTGTATGTGTAGCAAACATTGCTTGTTAAGGGAGTATATTTGTAAAAATTGTCAGGCCTCTTCATTGAGACTACAACAGTCAGGCGGATGGTCATAACTTGATAGTTTTAGAATCTGATAAGAATACTACGACTTTAATGGTTTACAAGCGATATGAAAATTTTCTTTTAACTTCGCAGGTTAAGAATTAGAATTACTTACATCACCGAGAAATTAGTTAAGAATGTGTATATGTATTTCTGTGACAATTATCATCATTGTAGGACTCCTCTTCAGACCCTATTGTACTGTCAAAAGGGTATCTTTTATAGTCTAAAAATCAGAATCACTTTTTACAACAAAGAAGATAGTTTGTATCTAGTTTTATAACAGTTGCCTTTCTTGTATTCCTAATGTTCTAACCCTATCGTCAGACATGGCTACTTTCTTTTAGAAAATAATACCGAATAGGTCTATCCTGATGTGTTGCAAATGGAATGACAAAATTGTATATTTAAGAATTTAAGAAATGAATTCATATTATGATGCCATAATAAATCGATGAAATAAAATATTTAATTTCATGCTTGAACTAAAAATGTTTATCATGATAATGTCTTCAATAATGCTTTTGATTTCTTTAAAAACAAACAAAATTTAATTTTACAATTTAATTAAATTTTACTTGCAGTGAACTTGCCAGCCCACGTTGTCAGTCACGCGAATCTACCGCCTCAGCTTCGGCCAACAATGATGTTCGTTGTCCATCAAATGAATCACATTACTCTGGGCATGAAGGTCATACACCGGCACAGACACCTACACCAACATCACCACCAGTTGGTCTACCGTTACCCGCAACATTGGCACCCGCAGCAGCAGCCGCTCTCTTACCACCACAATCAGCAGCAATGGCTGCATATTTTAATGCAGCTGCTGCTGCAGCTCAACAAAATCATTTACTATTAACAAATCCTTTAGCAGCAGCTGCATCGCTGGTACAACAGGCAACACAACAAGTTGCACATTCGCCGAATTCCCAACAAACCTTGACACCAACACCACCTAATGCCAGTGATAGTGTCGATACATCAGCATTGGATTTTAGCACAAAACGTAGCCGACGGAATTCTGACGATGATGCCAATGGCAGTGAAGATGATGAGGATGCAGCTGATGGCGAACGAATTGATAATGAGGCTGATAATGGAAATGATAATGAAGCAGAAGACCTGAATAGTCCATTAGATTTATCGGTAAATCATGGACGCAAACGTCAATCAGACGAAGAGGAACCCGTTTTAATAAGCAATCGGAAATTGGCAAGATCAAATGATTATAAATCATTGCCGGCTTCAAGTACATGGGTACCTCCAATAAATCCATATTTGGCAGCTGTTGCAGCAGCCAACATGTCACCAAAGACTCCACTCTCACTGGATTGGAATGCCAAAACGAAAATTGCACCAAATGAAGCTACCAAAGCTTTAGAGAAAATGACTGAAATGACAAGACTTGGAGGATCGGCAAAAACTGATCATACAGACAACTCAACTAGACATTCAACCAGTACTACCAGCACTTCCTCAACGACAACCACCACGTCAAATGGTCGTCACAGTGCTTGGCAATCACATTGGCTGAATAAGGGTGCTGATGCTGTCAAAGATGTTTTCAAATGTGTTTGGTGCAAGCAAAGTTTTGCCACTTTAGCATCGCTAACCACGCACATGAAGGAAACCCAACATTGTGGTGTTAATGTTCCACCTAGTGTTGGCTCAAATAGCACGGCAGCAAATAGTGGCGGCAATCAAACGACACAATCTTCCCATCATTCTCGTCATTCAACCACGCAAAGTAGTGGCACAGCATCAGCTCAAGCAGCAGCAGCATTAACTGCCAATAGTTCAGCAACATCTGGTGGCAGCAAATCTGATCTAAACATGCTAATCAAAGAAACGATGCCATTGCCACGCAAACTAGTGCGTGGACAAGATGTGTGGCTGGGCAAAGGTGCCGAACAAACGCGCCAAATATTGAAATGTATGTGGTGTGGACAAAGTTTCCGTTCTCTGGCTGAAATGACAAGTCACATGCAAGAGACTCAACATTATACAAATATAATATCGCAAGAACAAATCATTTCTTGGAAGTCAACCGATGAGAAAACGTCACGAGATAACAGCACTAGCAGTAATAGAGGATCTTCTGCAAATGCTGCCACCAACAACTCAGGCAGCAATAATGCTACGGTTACAGTTAATAACAGTGCTTTGTCTCCTAATGCTAATGCAACAAATTCCACTGTTAGTGCAGTGCTGACATGCAAAGTATGTGATCAAGCGTTTTCAACTCTAAAAGAGTTGAGCAATCACATGGTGAAGAACAATCATTACAAGGAACACATGATACGTACTGCAGCAGCAGCTGAAAATGTGCCAACAATGATTAGAGGCAGAGGTCGGCAGGCAAGGGAGAAACGCAAAAAATCCTTGCCAGTTCGTAAGCTGTTAGAAATGGAAAGAGCACAACATGATTTTAAAGCTGCCGGTCTAGATCAAGCTCTCAAGCCGTTACGAGATTTTGCCGTTTCTACGAAACTAGCCTGTGAAACTTGTGGTGATAAAGTAGAAACCGCCATGTTTGTAGATCACATTCGCCAGTGTATTGATCGTAGTTTGGTTTTGTCACCCAGATCTCAAAATAATAACAATAATACAATGAAATCTCCCTTTGGACCCTCAACGCCGCAAGAACGTTTAAGCAGTCCACAGACTCCACACAGTCGTAGTGATGGACGCAAAACTTCAGATGGTAATAGTTCCCCTCTGTCAGCAACTAATGCTAGAGCTGATATTTTGTGCCCCTTGCCTCCCACTGAATCGGAAAAGTCTAGCGGCGGCACTTCCGTATTAAGTGCTTTGGAGCAATTAATCGAAAAAAGTTTCGACTCAAGACCTCGTCAATCCTCCGCCTATGGAGAGACTACATCCGGAGGTACTCCCCTAGGTTCCAGTATACTTAAACGCTTGGGTATCGATGATAATGTTGATTATACTAAACCTTTAATGGATCCTCAAACTATGCAATTTTTACGTTCCTATTCGAATTATCCCTCAAATCGTGACCGCAGTGCCAGTGAATCGAGTTCAGTGTCCGAACGTTGTAGCAGTCGTTTAGAATCGTTTACCCCAGAACGCTCCTATGATCTATCCAGACAACCCACACCACGTCTAACACCCGATAAAAGTTATCAAACTCCTAAAGAAACTAGGGATGCCATGTACGCCACTAAAATCAAATCCGAGCCAATTGATAATAGCGATCAGTTAAACGATGCCGACAATATACCCATCAATGAAATACCAAAGAAAATTTCAGTTAAGAAAGAATTCAATATACCCGATGATCAGGAGGACTTGGATTGTCACAAAATGAAGGAAACTGACATGAGGCATAGCTCGCTAACACCCAGCTCTCGGGCCATTAGTCCCAGCATCAGTGAACGTTCGGCAACACCCAAGTCAACCTGTTCGAGTAGTGAAAAGAAACCGAATATAGGCTTAACAGAAAGTAGTAGTCTTAATGCTTTATCCTCCATGTTTAACAATCTTAATAACATGAACACAAATGCGATTAATAGTGCAACGGTGGAGAATAATAACAATAATACGGGTAACAACACAGTGGCTAAGAAAACCAATGCCAATCCTCTGGCTGCTTTACAAAAACTTTGCGAAACTACTGATACGCCTGCAGCCAATACACGCAGTTCATCCAATAGCAGTCACCACAACAACAATTTACCAACACATTCTAGTTCTTCTAGTGCTGGTGCCTCAAATGCGGGTGGTGCTAGTGGTAGCAGTGGTAGCAGTGGCAGTAGTGCCAGCATGTTGGCCTTTAGCTGGGCTTGCAATGATGCTGTTGTTACAGCTGATTCCATTATTAAATGTTCCTTCTGTGATACACCATTCAGCTCGAAGGGTGCCTATCGTCATCATCTCTCCAAGGTGCACTTTGTCAAAGATGACCAACATCATGATATGAATAGCATGAAATCACCAGCTGCTATGTCAGCCATTTCACCTAAATCGATGACTTCTCCCAAAAGTATGACTTCAGCTAAGAGTCCAGCAGCTCAACAGCAGCAGCAACAACAACGTTTGGAATCAACACCACCGTCCAGTGTTGCCACAACACCCACCATCAATCCCTACGATGAAAGTCCTCAATCGAAATTCTTAAAATATACTGAGCTGGCCAAACAGTTGTCGAGTAAAAATGCTTAAGCGTTGGTGGAGGAAGGGGTGTCCCTGTAGTAAAGGTATGAAATTGTGTATAAGTAGTGTTTTTTTTGGAAATCACTTAGTATTTTAAAGAAAATAAGTAAAATCTTTAAAGATCTTGAAAAAGTTTATCGAAAATTGCTTTACTGAAAAATAAGAAATCTTTAGATTTCGAAGTGTATATATTAGAAATTGAAGGTTTCTTAAAATTCAACTTTTGGTCCGTAAACGTTTGAATAATCCCCATAACCTGACTCAAAAAGAATTTAAAAATTGCTAGGGCTCTTTAATCCTTCCCTTATAGAGAAGCAGTACTTTGATAGATTGAAGTAGATCATAGGAAAAGTCATAACCTTGGCAGACATTTAATGGGATCAGCAAAATGTATCTTTTGATCCCCTAGAACTTATTAATCCTATTAGAGCAGATATCCATAAGAAAAGTCATGATCTTAGCAGACATCGCATCGGATCATATGATCAGCATTTCTTTTAATCATCTTGAGCTCATTATTCCTTCAGTTTTAGAAGGAAATTTATGGTATAATTTGAGAGGTAACGTTTTCAATGGCTGCTACATAGAACCAACTAAATATTAGAGATGATTCCATAAGAAAAGTCCCGATCTCAGCAGACATCTGATCGTTAGACAAGATCGATTCAATTTTTGTTTCCTTGTACAAGAATGTTGCTTTATTTCTAACAAAATCAACATCTTTTAAATACTTCAGATTTCTTTTCAAATACCTTGAACTTTACTGAACTTTTGAACTTTTAAACTGAAATAAATCTGCATTGAAAGCTAAGCCTTCATAATATACTGATGCCATCAGTGACCTTAATCAAACAAAATCTAATGATTTATTTTAATCTTGATAAATTGCCAAGATATTTGCTAACAAAAAATCTAACGTAAAAATATTGATTTGTTCTTTGGCCGCGCTAATAATTCATCTCTCTCATCTAATCTAAAAACAATAAATTTGCGGTAAAAAACACATTTTAACACTCCCACATGAATGAAAAACTTTTGATCGGAAAAAGAAAAAAACGCGTAAATTTAAACTACAATATAAAATAGAAACCATAAAGAACAAATTATTGAAGAAAACAATAACAACAACAACAAAATATGATTATAAACGTACCACAATTAATTGCCACACTTAAACTACTTGCTCACCTTTAAGCAGATGAAGCAAACCCAAGAAAAAATATCACTTTTTTATCGCGCTGGGAGTGTGTTAGTTGTTATACACATATGCCTGTTTAGCTGTATGTGTATATAGTTGTTATTAAAAGAAAAATATGTAAACAAACAACAAACAAAACAGGTACTCACTCCAGCAAGCTCCTCCTCACTAAATTTTCGCACACACACACACATACCTATACTCCAAAACTTTTAATGGCTAAATGTGGCAACAACAAAAAAAATATTTATGTTTGTTTGTTTAAGTATATGGCCACTTTAATATTGACGTTCAGTTGTTGCCCTGGTCTGTTTGTACTTTGACTGTTACCAGCCACCAACCATTCAAGCAACCATCCAGCCAGAACAACAATTGTGTAGAGTTTTAAACATTCAACCGATTTAGTCTGATACAAACGTATCAGAGACGACGAACACAAATTAATTGAAATTCATTTTCAATTTTCAACACAATGTTGTGTGTGGAGCAATGACGCTCTGTCGACGATGACGACGGCGTTGAGTAAGTAGCATGCATTGCAAATCAGCTAAGGTATGGCATAATTACCATGGTTGCCAGAGGTATGATGCAAAGGGAATGAATTGGGGGAGTTATTCAGTGAAACTTTGGGAATGTTTAGAAGTTGTTGGGGAGTGAATTTAGACTTTGGTTGCGCAAAGTTTTTATATTGTAAATTGTCCGCTATAAGAGGGTTTTGAATAAGAATGGATCATCGAAAGTGTTATAAATTTTTCATAAATTTGCCGCATAGATCTGGCTGTAACTTCGAAAACTTTGGCAAGTTTTAAATGTTGCTGAGGAGTGAATTTAGACTTTGGTTGCGCAAAGTCTTTAAACTGTAAATTTTCCAAGAATGGATCTTCGATTTTCCGTAAATTTACCGCATAGATCCAGCTCTAAAAGTCTAAAGACTTCCGAAGTAACATAAACAAACATTTTTTGAATCCAGAATTTCTTTGGTGGCATTTTTGTGATCGGTTTATTCAGCTTCCTACAAGAACACATCGCTGAGATCTATTTGTCATTGATATTTTAATCGAAATACCAAAAATATATAGCAACATCCGTTCTCGAGATCTCTACAACCTTCATGCTAAATCCGTATTATGGCTTTCGCTACGTAATGCACAGCTTCATCTTGAGGGAAACCAGAACGTTTACTTCTTTTCAGAATGATTTGCCTTCGATAGCTAATCGATATCCCAGCAATGTTAAGTCCTTTTGGAGATCCTCAAATCCTTTATGCTAAATCTGCTATTACGGTTTTTGCCATCTGATGCATAGCTTCGTTTTACAGGAACCAAGAACTTTTAATTCCCGTCTGAGTAAATTGGTTATCATGGAAATTAAGTTGTTTTATATCGCTTTTTGAGATAAATGTTAAGGTCTACGATCGATTTTAGTTTATTGGCATAGACTTAAGAATTCAAAACAAGCCTACCGTTCAATGGTTTCTCTACTCTGCTTTCCGGAGAATCAAGGCAATAACCAAATCCAATCCTATTCTAAGGGTAACTCTTCGTAAAACCCTCATTACCTTCTTTGTTAAAGAGGAGAGCTGGTAATCTTTCAGATATGGATATTTCAATGTTATGCTTTTTGGGACATTAAGAGCATTAGCTGGAGTTACATTATTTGTTTTCATCGAGGCTACAAAAGTCTTTAATGCCTATAGTAATGAGCTTTGAAACATTTAGATCGATTTCCCCCTTTCAGGTTTCGGTAGTTTAAGTAAAGTCGTTAGTTTATCTCCTTCCAGATTAGGAAGCTCTAATAGTTTCGGCAGTAAGAGCATACAGCTCCAAAGTTTTCCCCCTTCTGCTTCCAACAAGAAGACCTTGCCATAATGGTAATTACAGGTCCGTACATGGCTTAAAACTTACAAATGATGCTTTTTAAAAGACAGCTTTCCTTTTCGGAACGAAGTATCCGATCAATCTCTTCTAAATAAGTCAGATATTACCGGGTAATGTTATTCGCAATTTCCGCCTTTGTTGGTCGGTATATACAATAATATCCAGAGATTCTGTCTGAAGTTTTTCTGCTCTCTTCACCTTATAAGGTGATGCCCTACCACTGATCTTACACTTTCTCCTATTCTGGATCTGTCTGCTGCATCCTAAAGTATTTTGGGAGTCCGACATTCTAAGGGCAATTCGAATTCAGAGAAGTATTGTTAGAGTTTATCATGAAGGCACTTTTCCTTTAACTCCAGATGTCCTTCCTTCCTCTAGTGCCATTCTTAGTTTCTTCGTTTCCTCTAGCTGGTATTTACATACATAGTTCCAAAAGTTAGAGAAGAAGTGAAGATCGTTATCAACGGCTCTTTTCTCTTAGATCCTCTTCTAGCTGAATCAAGTTTGAGTTTAGTTCAGAATTCTGATTAATGAATTTGTGGAGTTCAAATGCCATGTACATAGCAGTGCTTGCTTTTTCGGATATTTCAAACGATCCGAAATCCTTGTTAGAGAAAAAGTGAAGATCGTTATCTACGACTCTTTACTTTTAGATCCTCTTCTAGATGAATATAGTTGTTGGTGTGGTTCCAAGTTCTGTTTGATACATTCGTGGACTTCAAATGACATGTATATAGCAGTGCTTTCTTTTGCACATATTCCAAATGATCCGAAATCCTTGTTAGAGTAAAAGTGAAGATCGTTACCTACGACTCTTTAATTTTAGATCCTCTTCTAGATGAATCTAGTTGTGAGTGTGGTTCCAAGTTCTGTTTGATACATTCGTGAAGTTCAAATGACATGTATATAGCAGTGCTTTCTTTTGCGCATATTTCAAATGATTCGAAATCCTTGTTAGAGAAGAAGTGAAGATCGTGACGACTCTTTTAGGTCCTCTTTTAGATCAATCTAGGTTGAGTGTAGTTCCAAGTTCTGTTTAATGCATTTGTGGAGTTCACCGATAGGCACGAAGCAGGCTGGTTAGTTTGAATGGACTATGTATTTTCACATAAAATCCGAAGAAATATCTATAAGACTCCAGCTATGCTTTATCAGTGTCTCTGATTGAAAACGAACCCACAACCTCCAATCTGGTAGACTAAAACTCTAACTATAACCCTACCAGACACACAATTTCTGGACCTATAGTCCCACCTTTATATCGTTTAACATTTATCACTCTTGTTCTCGAATAGTATGAGACCAAGGATGCCGTCGGTCTAAAACCCTTAGCATTTTACTGTTATTAAAAACTTGCCGTCGGCAAATAAGCAGTGAGAATTTCATGAGTATTACATGAAATCTGAGGAAGGAAGATTCGATGCAAGATCCACAAATTTGAAGTCTGAGCTCAAGACGGAGCATCTATTACCTCATGTATTTGACTAATTTCCCTTTATTTTTACTTTCTATTAATTTCCCAATTGTTAAAGAAATAGGGAATATGCACCTCTATTGGGTATCAGTAGATCGAAGATCGAAATTATTTTACTCTAAAATCCTATGAAAAACACTTATATCTGTCTAAGGTAACCCTCCAATAGAGCAAGTTTAATTAAATACTTAGACCAAAGGTAAAAGGCGTTAAGCAGGTCAAAAATAAAAACAAACCAGAAAACATGTGCCTAAAACCGTGCGCCATTGTTTAAATTGAAAGAAGAAAAACATCGCGTTTTTTGAAAAAAATATAAAAAAATTATTTTATACAAAAAAAAACTGCGGTTTTTACTACAAACAAATTAACAAGATATATAAAAATAAAGAAGCATTTGTTAACAAGAAGCCTTTAGTACAAACACCCACTCATAGACAATTAATCAATTATAATGACTTTGAAACAGACAACAAAACCACACACATGAAAACACACACGGAAACAAACAAACATATCTACACTTTCTCATATAGAGACATGTATAAAAAAAAAAACAAACTTTATAAAAACAACATTACCTTTGTTGTAAACAATAAAAATTTTTCCAACTCACAGCCCGAAATAAAAAATTTTCTCGAAAATGTTAACGGAAAAAAAGAACATGTTTAAAGAGCAAAGTTCCTAACTCTTACATTTTTCTGGAGAAAAAGGGAATATATCTCTTTATTACTCTTAAAAGGGGCAATAATTTCCCCTTTAAGCAAAAAGCTTTCACCCAATACTTCTTAAGTTTAAAGTTTACTAACAAAAAGCTGTTTAATTCATAACAGGAACAGTGAGAAAAGAACACAATTTCTTGTGGTTTGCTAAAAAAAAGCTTTTAATTTTTTTAGAGATTTCTTTATTGAGAAAGATTATTTGCACTCTTTAACGTTTAAGCAATATTGTTATCTCTTTCTAGCTTATTTTATTAAGTTAAACAAACAAAGAGTGCAATATTTTGCTCTAATTTGCAGTGCATTTCTTAGTGTAATTGTGTGTGTGTGAAAAACTGTGCGCTAAAAATTTACTCATTTCCTTACTAATGCCTTAAAGAGAGAGTATGATTTCTCATACTCTTTTTAACTTTTGAACACAAAAACTTTAAAGGAGGGCGCATATAAATGGTTGACTTGTTTGTTTTGTCTGCTTTTGTTTTTGATGAACTGCTGTCCATCAATTTCCACTATCTGGCATGAAAGAAAGAAAGAGACTGTTGTTTATGAAATGAAACAAAAATATACACGCTGCATTCATTCACTCACTAACTAACTGCAGAGTGATGAAATGCCAAATCATGTTGTTCGATGCTACCAATACACTGACATGTTGGAAACGGTTATTGTTGTTATGCTTTTTTTTCTAAAGTTTCAACCCGTTATAATAATAAACAACAACACAATGTCGTCATGTACAATAACAATATATAGCCATAAAGAAAATTGAG